TAGACAACAACAAACACCCACAGAACTCGAGTTTAGAATACAATAAATGATGAGGAAAACTGGGATCACTGTACAAAATGACGTTTTCACGGATTGTTATACACGTAGTTCGCTCGAGCGTGGAAAGTGACGCTCGAGCGTCAGACACAAAGTTCCGCTCGAGCGTGGAATACACTTTTCTAGAAGTTTTGCAGACGAAGGACTTCCCTCGAGCATAAGACTGGACGCTCGAGCATCCACCCGCTCGAGCGTAGAACACGCTACTCGAGCGTCAAATACACTATCCAAGTATTTGCAGGTCTGCAAAAATACTGAGAGTTCGCAAATCCTACTCGAAGTGCAAGAATGGCCGCTTGAGTAAAGAGCAAAATTTCTGAAGCCCGATCAAGTGCAAGAGTGCCCGCTCAAGCACAATAGCCAAAATCTGGGCATCACAGGTTTGGAAAAACAAGCAACCAACCTGTTCCAAACGCACAACTACATCTTGATAACCAAGATAAGAGGAGACAAGGGAAACAAAACAAGAATAACCATTCTAAACCATACTAAACCGAGTTCGGAATGTAGTAGGTAACGAGTCAAAACCGGAATTGCTATAGAAACAGAGGGCGAACAGCTTCTTAGAATCAGTTTTTTGGATTAAAATAAGTTATTAGAATGAGAAGCTATTTGAAATACATTAAAGCAAATAGTCCAAAATAATTTTTCCAAAACTAAAATCTATAAGCTATTAAAATAACGGGGTGTTTGGTGCAACTGTTAAAATAAATTATATATTATAACTTAACGGATTGTTAATCTGTTTAGATTATAGATTTAAGTTGCTGAGTAGTATTTAGTAGATAAGTTGTGAAATAGTTTTTTATTTGTAAATGTCATTTTTACCACTGTTAATTGCAAATTAAATAAACTTTTATTCTTTTTTATTCACTACTAGTTTACATTTTTCATATAATAATAATAATCTACATTCCATTTGGGTCTTTTTATATTTTTTCAAAAAATAAAAAATTAAGAGTATAATCATAAATTAATATGCCCACAATAGAAATTGATAATCAAAAACATTGGGTGGACAACTTCTTAGAATCAATTTTTTGGGTTAAAATAAGTTGTTAAAATCAGAAACTATTTGAAATAAATTTAACTAAATAGTCCAAAATAATTTTTTCAAAATTAAAATCAATAAGCTGGCTAAAAAAAGCTACACCAAACACCACCAATGAGTTAGGTAAATTACACTTTTTGCACTTTTATTATTATTATTTGTAATTTTAACTCTTGAATTTTTGGCTTCTTATTTGGCTTTTAGGTTTTGATTTTTTAAAATTTTTTAAAATTAATTTAAGTGTAAAATTAGATAAAAATAAGATGTTGATTGTAACATGATATAAAAAAATATTATTATATTTAAATTTAAATTTATATTAAAGGTGTACGTTAAATATATTAATATATTTTATATTATCTGACTATTAATATGACATTTTTTAGTTAATTTTACGTTTAAAAAAATTAACTTTAAGAATAAATTTATATAAAAAAAAAAACTTTAAAAGCTAATGTTACTACAACAAAACTAATTATTTACGTCATTATGCTTACGACATGCATTAAATGCATGTCGTAGTTAGTACATTCTACGACAATATTTTTTTTTGCAAGCTGTCACTACAACAAAAAACAGATTCGGCGACTAATTTTGCCGACTAAACTAAATTTAGTCGCCAAAGGGTTACGTATTAGCTACTAAAAATTAGTTGGTCGCCAATGGTTCACACATCAGCTACCAAACAATATTTGGTCGCCAAATGTTCACTTATTAGCTACTAAAGTTTTTTGGTCGGCAAAAGTCCGATATTTCGCTACCAAAATAATCTGTAGTCGGAATTGTCTTGACTTTTGGCGACTAACTAGGTTTTAGTCGTTAAAAATATAATTTTCGGCGACTAAATATGATGTTCGTCGTGAAAAATAAATTATAATTTGTTTAATTTGTATTTATTTAATTTTTGGCTACTAATTGTGTGTTAGTCGTGGAAATGATTGGGTTTGGGCGACTATTTCAATTTTGGTCACTAATGATTAATTACATACCGACTATAATTCGGTAGCCAAACGTGCCACATAATTTTGGAGGGAATATTAGATTTTCCTTAAATTTATTAGCGACGAAAATTAATTTTGGTCGGGAATAATTATTTGTTTGTTTGATTTTTATTGCCAAAGCAGTCCATTTCCCTCCCTCTCGCACTCCCGCGTCTGATTCTGCTCTGTCTCCATCGCCATCACTGCAAGGCTTGCTGGATCATCCCCTGAACTCCCTCCCAGGTATGTCCTCTCTCTCTCTCTCTATCTCCCTCTCAAATTCTGGCTCCTTCTCATAGAGGCCTCTCGGTTTCCCTCTTTCTCTCTCTCGCTGTTTACACACACACACATACATGCACACACACAAATCATATATACACAACCTTGATTCCATATATACTCAATTATACACTGGTATACTCACGCCTCTGTCACTGGGTCTCACTCACGCCTCTGCCTTATTCTCTACAGCTTTGTCTCCATCGCCATCATCGCTTGGTTTTCTGGAACATCCCCCAAACTCCCTTGTAGGTTTGTCCTCCATTTCGCATCTGTCTCTCCCTCTCTCTATATCTCCCTCTCGATTTCCCTCTCTTTGCCTCTGTCTCTGTTTACACACACACACACATACACATATATATATATATATATATGTGTGTGTGTGAAAACACACAGACATCAGTTAGGAAATGCTAAAAATTAAGGCATTGTTGTTGAAATGTGATTGAAAATAAAACTTAGGGCAATGCTTGGGGTGAATCAAGCAATTTGCTACAAAAACTAGGGCAATGTCTTGTATGGAGGTGTGTAATATTGTCAACATGACACTTCCATAAATAAATTTAAAAGTAAAAAAATTCCCAATGAAGCTGCTACTTCATGTCCTCATTGCTCATGCTCTAATGAACAACATCTTCCTTAATCTCAATTACTATATTTGTACATAAATCAATTTCAGAACTATACATAATTATCTTATATTAAATTCACAAAAAAAATAAAATTTATCTTTATGAAAGAATTCTATTTCATTTTGTGATCGATTTCTTTATTCGAAAATTTTACAAAAAGAGGGGTCTAGTCTGGGAAACAACCAGCAAGCTTAAGGTACATCAAATTTGTTACAGAATATAATTCAAAGTCTACGTAGACAATATATATAGACATAGGGGGCTTTCAATTCAATGTAAAAATTCAGTTGCAAAGTCATTGTCGGGTTAGATGAAAAGGATGAGTCCACTAAGGGACCATATTAATGTCGGAGCCTGTAAGTAGTAGTAGTATGTATACCAATCTATGAATCAAGCAATTCGAAGTGTAGAGAGAGAGAGAGAGAGAGAGAATAATTTGAGACATTGAAAACAAGAGAGAGAATAATTTGAGACATTGAAAACAAAGTATCATAACCCAGGCCTACGACAAGCTTGGAGATCTACAAATACTGCATATATTCTAAAGATTTTGACATAGAAGAATGTTACTTATAGTCAGCTATATTTTACCACTTTAATTAGTTTGTGTTCATTTGATTGAACTTCAACCAATAACATGATGCAAACTTCTATATATACTTAAAACATCTTCAAACTTTACTCAAATTTCTACTTTACTTTAAGTACAAAGTTGAATAAAAACTATATTTCAGACGAAGCACTACAATAGACAAACAAAAACAAATAAAGAGAACTAGATAGGTTACATAAAGATGAAGCACATGCATTCTTTCTAAGGTTTCGTAGCCACTTCATTCAAGCCCATTTTGCTCTATGAACATTGATTTTACTAAATAGGTTAAATTTGTTAAAGCAGGGACGCACTAGTGTTACCTTTTTCTTGTTTGTCATTTGCTCAACAAAGTTTTGTACATGGCTATTCAGATTGCTATAGGCATCCATTAGATTTTATAGAATTATAGATTCTTGGGTTGGACAGGCAAGCCATTATTATATTGCTGATGGGAAGATTATTTCCCTAACTTTGATAATCAAATTTAGGCTAAGTGTTGTTTCCTAAAGGAAGGCCCCCCAAGTGTATTGGAGGTCAGTGAGCCTACAGAACAAAGGCGTAGTTTCTTGCATTATAATGCTCCTTTCAGTAGGTATGTCAGTGTCATATATGAAGTGTTTCCCTTGGTTATCTTGAGCAAATTGATGCATCTCAATAGGCCCTTGAATATGAGTTAAGTTCCCAAAGTTTCCATTACTTGCATTTATAGATAAAAATATTATATTGTTTGCAAAATACAAATAAGACTCGAACCAGTTATTCAGCTTAGCAAGAATGAAGAATCTCTGAATACCTCTTCTCCTTGGCCTTATTTGCCGACGATTTGTTTGTCGCTAAAGCTTTACTTTTGGCAACGACAAATTAGCATTGGCAAAAAATACACTTCTACCAACACAATATGAGTGGGGAAAAGTAACTTTTAGCGACACATTTACGTCGGTAAATGTTGCCATTTGCCGACGATTTGTTTGTCGCTAAAGCTTTACTTTTGGCAACGACAAATTAGCATTGGCAAAAAATACACTTCTACCAACACAATATGAGTGGGGAAAAGTAACTTTTAGCGACACATTTACGTCGGTAAATGTTGCCATTTGCCGACGATTTGTTTGTCGCTAAAGCTTTACTTTTGGCAACGACAAATTAGCATTGGCAAAAAATACACTTCTACCAACACAATATGAGTGGGGAAAAGTAACTTTTAGCGACACATTTACGTCGGTAAATGTTGCCATTTGCCAACGATTTGGTTGTCGATAAAGCTTTAGTTTTGGCAACGACAAATTGGCATTGGCAAAAAATACACTTTTAGCAACACAATATGAGTAGGCAAAAATAAACTTTTGGCTACACATTTACCGACAAGTTATTTGTCGAGAAAGCTTTACTTTTTTAACAACGACAAATTTACAACGGCAAAAATAATTCAAACTCATTTATAATTTTTTAAAAGATTTACAGCTTTACAAGAGGCATCCCTCAGGCACCACTATAACAAACTAATAACATTGATATGAAATCACACAAAATACCCCCTCCATACCCTTCCATCCAAAACACCAGCAGTTGCCCGAAATTACACCTAATGACAACCCCCATTAATGAAAACCTGATCTATTACAGATTGGACAAAAAGTCCTGCACCCTTCCAAACATCAACAACACCGCAGCACCTCATCGTAACAATCACCATCACAGCAGCATCACCACAGCATCTCAGCAACAACAGCAACATCACAGCAGCACCAGAAGAATAGCAAATTAGTATAGCAGATCAGCAAACTGATGCAACAGAGATCATCACCAGTTCAGAAAACCATTTCAACTCAACAACCCAAACAAAATCATATAACCAAATCAGAATTGACGCAGCAATTAACCTTATTTACCAGAACAGTCAGAAAACAAATCAAACAAAACCAGCAACAAAACTATACAAAATGCTTAGAAATCAGTTTACCATGTTTGTCATCCATCAATTGTTCAAACAGCCCTCAAAACTATACAATTCTTAGTAACTTTTAAGCCATCAGGTTAACAGAAGTCAAGTAAAAATTCAAACTAATTCACTGGCTGTCATGTTTACACTAGGAGAGTAAGTTATATAAAAACACTCAATTCAAGTACACCACAATGTTTACCAAGCTAACCTTATACCAATGCACTGGAAACAGTAAAAGTAACTAAGCATTGGGATTGTCCATACACCACAATGTTCACTGATGGCTCTCTTCATTGCTTTAGAATGTGACCAGGTTTTCAAAGTAGTCAGTCAATCCAGTGTTACATATGAGTGACAAGCAGCAGCAGCAGATTCCACTTTTGACTGACCAATATATGCTTCAGTATGGATAATCTGCAGTATAGTAATACAAGTTAGCTGATGAAGAATTACAAATTTGATTCTCTCCCTAGAAGCACTTATAGCAATATCATCATCATCATCTCCATCAAAGAAGATTTACAAATATCAGAATACAATTGAGAGTCCTACCTGCCTGTGCAGATTGTTAAGCTGAACTACATCATGATCAACAATACCTAAGCGACCTAGAAAGGTTTAAAAACAACAAAATAGTTAATTTCCGAAACAAAAAGTCCTAATGTAAGATTATATATTATGATTCCATTGAAGCACCCATCCATTTAGAGTGATGTTCAAACCACTTTTGATTATTACAAAGCAAGCTTTTTTTCTTTTTTTCTTTTGGTCTGGTACAGATGAAGACAAGCTATCAACAACAAATCTCTATCAAGATCAAGACAGAAAACGTCTGAATCGGTCATAACAATAGACATTTGATTCCTAACAACAACCAAAAATGCAAAGACTTATTGGGATCGCACAAAATATGCATCAATCAAATACCAAAAGAAAAGTCATGTAAATATAATATAATTGTCATTTGTGAATTCTCAATACAGATTTGTGTCGTAAACAATAAGTGGAGGAGAAGAAATTTGATGGTGAAGGAAATGGACAAGGTATAAAGCTTGTTGAAAAACAAGAATGCTGCACCTTTTTGAGTTGAGAATCATGATCTGATCCCTGGTTTTTCTATTTATCAGTGAGGAGATGGCCAAAGAAACATCAGACAACATCTTCTGAATTGTATCAGAAAGTACTGCTGCAACACTAAAGGAGCAACTGCCTGGACTTGATGTTGCAAGGACAGAGTTTCGTTATTTGTCAACTCCGTCAACCACTGATTCAGGTGTTGTTTTCTGCGCAAAGCCATTAGTTTTTTTTTTTTAACCAAATTTTAATTCCACTTTTTGTTTCCAATATTTACATGTTATCAAAGCCATATCACTACTAAGAAGCAGCCTATCAGTTCTTGTATTCCTGTCAAGTAAAAAAAATCTCCTATGGTTTCCTAGTGCTGTCTTGTGAATTTTCTAGTCTCCAATGGTTCAATAGCTACATGTTGAATATTGTTATAATTTAGCAATAAAAAGAGACAAAATGCTATATATTAGCAATGTTGCTCCAATGATGACTTTGCTCCCTCCATTTATTCTCCCATTTCAACTATCATTTCAAAATGACAAGTACATGCTACTTAATCAAACTTTATTAACTTAATTTAGAGTTACATACTGCAAAATAAAATAACATAAGACATAATCATGGAAGAGGAAGAACATAATAATCTGAGTTGCTTGATCATGCCAAAATTTTTGTGCCTAATCGTTCATTTAAAGGTATCTCAAGTCAGCTCTTGTGAAATGGATCCTGTGCTCTAACCATGATCACTTAAAATTGAAAGCATTTAGTGATACAAATTGGGTTGGTTCAATCGATGATAGACAAAATGCAAACATATGTGTGTATAAGAAGAGAACATGTGCCTACTGTTGGTGTCTCTCATTAGCCTTTTCCTGTATTTCTCTCTCTTCTCTCTATCTCTCTCTCTCTCTCTCTCTCTCTCTCTCTCTCTCTTCTTGTCTTCGTCTTTCACCCTAAATTTAATTGTCACCAATTTTATATGAAAATTTGTCTCAACAACACAATTCAAATTGTTATAAAATCTAAACATGACAAAGAAATTGGTAAGATTGTGAAGAAAGCCCACCTTCCAGCACCAAGTGCCCCCTCAAAAACATAAAGTTTCTCACTCATAGCTGTTTGAAAAACACAATAGTTTGTCTTAGAGATGAAATAGAAAATTTAAAAGTAGTGATCAAAAAACTGAATCCTCATGCAAGTGTTGCAGAGTAGTGACATAAGTAGATTGTACCAGAGAGAATAGGGCGTGCCCTTGTAATGGCATCCAACTGTCCTGATGAAATAATCTGCGTATTATAGAAATATCAGCTTCAGCCAGTTATAAAATAGCAAAACAAAAGCAAAATGATCCTCTACTTATGTGAGGAAGAAATAGGATATGAGATATATAATCTTACCATTATTTTGCCATTCAAAACCTCTGGCATTGACACAGATTCCAGTGAACACTGCTTCCATATAAAGAATACATCTAATTAAACATACTGACATATGCATAGCTCAGCTCCCATTCCTAATGCAATATTGAACCTGCTGCCATGTCATGATCCTTGCTCCATTTAGCAGCAACTAAAAGTGATAACTCAGAGCCCACCCAGCAACGGGGCAGCCTCCTTATAAGCCCAGAGAACTCGAGGTCAATCCACAGCAATAGACAACAATATCACCAACCTCAAGGCCACACTCCAAAACAGCATGTCAATTTAGTATCAGTTAGGTAAAACAGCATGTAAATCCAAATCTTTTAGAAGAAAAAATTCCAATAAATATTAGAAAATACAAAGTAATTAGTTTGTAGCAGCATGTCAATTTAATGTCAAGGGATGATCCATTGATGAGGCTTACCTCATTCTGCAGCTTAATTGACAAAATCTCTGATTTTGCCCCAAGCTCAGAGAATACCTTTCCAAGAGCATCTCCTTCACAAGTGCCAAGAAGTTTGACTGCCTTCCCAAAATCTGACAGGGATTGCCCCAATTCTATGGAAACACAATAAAAAATTAGGAATGAATTTTATTTGATTTTATTCAAATATTAGAACAAACAAAGAAGAAAGCGGAATAAATGAAGATAATCCACAAAATATGATTTAAAGTAAGTTTGAAAAACTAGCACACCACAGAACCAAAAAAAATAAAGTCCTTAAATACCTCTGTGTCTCTTTACTAGGCGATATGCATGCTTCTGAGCTTCAGCTAAGTGATCTTCAAGCTCAAAGATATAATGTTTCAGTTTCTCATATTCAGGATTCGATTCTTCAACTGGTTTTTCCTTTCCAAGTACAACAACACTTACTTTAGATTGTACATCCTGTCAAAAATCATAGAGAAGTCATATGGCAGATCATTCATCTTTTCAAATGGTCATCATTCCCATTTCAGTGCCCCTTGCAATCCCAATTGGGAGCCAATGCAGTCACTTCACAGGGAAAAGATGACTGACTCAGATAACTGATGAGCTCTCTAATAGCAGAGACTCTGTTTAGTTTAGTTGTTATTTATTTATTTGATATTACATGTAAACATTCAAGCCTAGGGCTTTATTTGTATTTGAGTTAGAACTCATATTCTGTGTCCAAGTGTTGGCTTGGAAAGATGTTAGCCCGTAGGGCATTTAATTTGATGTTACATGTAACGCTTTTATTTAGTAATACTCTAATAAATGAATTAATGAATTGTTTTCTTTAAATATTGCATGTCAATGATATATATATAATGGGTTAATTTTGAGGGCGTTACAATTAGGATCAGCAAAAAACAGAGCCCAATCAAAAAACTAGCCTAATTTGCTGCACCAACCAAGCAGATTAGCCACCTCTTACTGGCAGGAAGACAGCAACAAACAGCAACAAAACAAAGGTTGGGCAGCATACAGTTCAGAAATACAAGAAGAAAGCAACCGCAGACAGCACCAGAGCATACACTATAAAGAAAACAACACTGCTACAGGGAAGGAAATATAGTAGCAATATCATGGCAGCATGAACCACAAACACAGCTAAGACCACAGTTAGCATGACAGCAGACAGCAAACAGCAGACAACAGACAGTAGCACCAGCAAAGCCACACAAGTGGAGCCACAGACTCAACAACTAGCAGAGAACCATATACACCCATCCATCGGCAGTATCTACACATGGACTACACAAATTTCAACTCAACAGCAGCAATTCAGCATATACCACAGCCAGCAGAACAGCAACCAATAGCAACATAGTCCATCACAACAAGCTTCTGCCAAGACCAACCCCAAGACAAATGCAGATGTAAACTTGAACTACTACATATTACAGACCTATGGGGGGGTTGAACAGATACAATAACCTATGTGTAACAACTCAGCAAGGACACACTGACAAATATTCATTACAAATAGATAGCAAGACTGGGTAGAGTAGACCCACAGAAACAAATAGTCCTCAATCACTCAACCCTCAAGATGCAACACACAGCACTCCAAAAAAATTTATAAGGGCTAACCAATCACTCAACCCTCAACAAAAAAAACTCCCTTACAATTAGGACCAGCTTGACAACCTGCAGAAAAGAATTAGATAAACTATATGGCTCACCATCACTCAACCCACAAAAACCTAGCTATAGAGCCTCACCATCTCAACCCTTCTTCCTACAAGAGACCAGCATTGACAACTTGCAAAGAAAATAATGAGCAAGATAGTAGGATTATGGATGTCTCACATTACACAACACTCATATATAGCCTCTCAACACTCACTCTCAATAATCTCCATCACAATACTAACTGTGGAGGCTCACAATCACTCAACCCACAACATCCCTAAGTAAGTACCAGCAAAGTCCTGAATACAATGGGGAAAATGAGGCAGCTCCAAAGGACTGATCTAGGAGACCTGCAAGAGGAAGATCCAAACACACAAAAATATATATAGACACTGGAAGTAAGAGTAAAAACAACTCAAAGAGCATGTGCCCTCAACATTATATGAGGAGAATGCCATGAGTCCATAAACCAATCATTATCCCCATCCTCCTTGAAGTTGTTAACAGATAAGAGCCTGCACCTAACCAGAGATTCAACTTTTCTCACAACCACATTAGTAGGAGTACAAACAGATGAGAAGAACCTAGCATTTCTCTTCTGCCAGATACAGTAAATCGTACAAGTAAGCATTAATTTCTTAGCACTAGTGGCCAAAGAATGACCAGAGAATTGCCCAGATAACCAGTCCACACAACTGCCCCAGTTCATAGCCTGCCAATGCGTATTACATTTATGTAACGGAGGGCCCAGCACACTAGAAGAAAATGAACAATTGAAAAATAAACAGTTTCGCAGCACCAAACCATACATCAGCAGTTTACCAGTAGCGGCAACAATACAGCAGTAGTAGCACCTCTTTACAAGCTCCAAAACCAGTGAGCAAACAACAGCTACAACTGCACCTCTCCGATGGGAACCAATTAAGAGCAACTAGAAAAAGAAAGGAAGAAAACAGAACAACAAAATCAGCAGCAACTCAACTCCCGTGTCACAACTTTCTAACAAACTCATATATTTCTTTTCTTATATATGTCATAATGTAAAAACCATGATAAGTTTATTATTGATCAATAAAATAGCAATTTCACACACAATAAAATATACCTTGCTAGGGATAATAGCAGTAATCAAACCAGGACTCTAGTAAGAAATTTAATTAAGGAGATAAGTAGCAGCATTGGCAAATAAATCACATACTTACGCTGAGCCAAAAGCCTAACCAACAATGGAACAACCAAAAACTTGGACTGCTAAAAACTAGTCATTAAATGCCCTTTATTTCCCAATGATGCACATATTGTCTTTACGGATTCAAGGACATATCTAATCACCACAAGAAATTCAAAAAGCCAGCACAAACTCACTTTAGGAGAAATTATTGTCATTCCTTAACACAAGCACAGATTCACTTACAACAAAAACAAAGAAAGAAGTCATTTTTATCCATAAAAAGGCAATTACTTATACATATCTTTGTTTCATTTCAAAAGGGGGGCTGGACAGGGGACAACTTCCATAAAACAAATCAATTATTCATAACATGTCATTGTAACCAAGACATCAATGAGAACAAGAGTAAGTCCAACTAATTGTGGAGAATGTGAAGAAGTATATCCAAAAACACAATCTAATTACCTTAGTTCACCATATTCTGCCTCAGTCAATTTTACACCATCAAATAGATACTGCTCGTCTTCTATATCATCTCTGAAATTACCAAGACATGGATGCCAAATTAAAACCGATAAAAAAAATCATAAGACAAAATCTTTTTTAGGAAAGTTTTACAAGTTACAATCACCACTGTCTATATAAACACATCTACAAGTAGAACAGAAACTAAAACATAAAGAATATAAAACTAAGATGTGACATCCTATCATACCTAAGCTCCTTCAGTTTCTTTTGCTCCATTTTCTTCAAATACTCTTGCCTTGAAACTTTCTTGAAACAAGAGAATGGAAGAAAAATAAGCATAGGCTTCGGTAGGTGACATAGACACACCACCAAGTTCAAACAAATACAACAAAGAGGCAAAGAAGGGAATATTGCAAAAAAGGGTTTAGTTACGTAGTATGTTGACATTATTGAGGTGGTGTGCTAGAGCAATCACATTAAAGAAAAAATCCAAAATAGTTTATTTGCATTATATATTGCACTGAAATCATAAAGAATGGAGAAGAGAATGAATTAGAGAGACTAGAAATCAACCCGTACACTCAATGTTTTCCACACAACGAATAAGGAAACAACCTGGAATTGCAATCCAAAGCATATTAATCAGCAAAAATAAGTACCTCGCCCTTACGAGAACCAATTAAAGTACCATATCGATCTGCAAAAGAAGAAGAAGAAAAAGATAGTTTACACTAATGATGTCCAATAAGAAAGGAAATTCACAAATGTATATATATATATATATAATCAAACAAATCAAAATCACTAATAATAAAACAAAATTAAACAAACATTGACAATAACATTAGATTTGATCAAATTCCTCACAGTTCCTAGAAATCAAGATATCTCATCAAATTCCTCACTGTCAAAAACCCTAGAAATCAAATCCTAGCATCATATACTAGCCGAAATCAAAGGGCATATCATAAACCCCCGAAACACTAGAAAGCAAGACCCTAAATCCATACCTGCTTTTCGGGTTAGACTCATTTGCCGTTGACCCACTCCCGGTGAACTTACAACTCCGAAAACCCAAACTCGATCTCGTCGGGACGGTTCTAGAAGGTGACTACGAACTTGGAATTGTTGAGAACTATGGTTATGACACCTGTCCACCTTCCTTTGAACAATTTTCTATATTCTTCCTTCGAATGGAACACCTTGAGGAAGCAACCGAACTCAGATACGCAATAGATAAGAGAAGAGAAGAACGAGACAACGATAGATACCTTTGATTTCAGATACAACCGAAGAGAAGAGATGAGATGATCCTGGTAACCCTCAACAATTGATTCAGCCTCATCATCAGAGAGAGAGAGATTGAAACCCTTGCTATGTTCCTTTCTGATTAGAGGAACTAGATCAAGAGTTATTTTGGAAAAAAAAATTATATATACATATATTTGGTAATTGGCGCCAGAAATTTTATTTTGACGCTTATTTTTTTTTGATCATTCCATTAACCATATAAATTATGGGTCGTAAAAAGTGTAATATTTTAACGGCAATTGTTTTGTACGACGTTTTTTTTTGATCATTCCACTCACGATATAAATTATGCGTCGTAAAAAGTGTA